TATGACGCTGCCGTTTGTGTGTGTGTGTGTGTGTGTGTGTGTGTGTGTGTGTGTCTGTTTGTTGCCATGGTTTCGTGGCATCTAGCCTGTGCTGCTCTCCGCAGCTTAAAAAAAACCCGTCTCTTAGATACCCCACTAGGCCTGTCGGACAACTGCTGCTTCTCTCCGGTTGCCATGGAAAGAGCCAGCTTTTGCTGAGCAGCAGATTTCATGATTCCAGTGACAGGCATGAAGGCTGATAAAATGAGTGGAGGTCTGACATGACTGAAACTATTACTTAGGGAGGTGGGGCTCTCCTTGGTTCAGTTCAGTTTTGGGGATGTGGAGTGGGGAACAAGAGAAGTTAGGTTAGGTGTTGTGTTGTGTTTTTGTCGTGGTAATTGAGTCAGACGGCTGCTGATGCGCTCTTAATTGCATGTTGGACCTATATGAGACTGAAAGGGAATCCGTGGCGATGCTAGAGTGAGTATGATAACAGCTCAGAGGAAGAGAAAAGAGTGAGATTAAAGGTGCAGGAGCAGGGGCAAGTACTGGGAGAGAAGGAGGTGAAGAAGGCTAATGCATGTTTGTATAGGATTAGACATTTCTGTATTAAAAACAGCACATTTGTGTAATTTGTATGATGATGGTGTTGTTTCCATGGCAACATGTATATATCCTGACATGGAGCAGAATCAGCACCCATTAGAGATGATTGTGTCAGCTTAACCTCCTCATTTTCTTTTGTCATGCTCTCTCACATCTCATAAACACACTTATATGTGAACACAGACATTATCCAGTCAGCCAACATCAGCGTCATCTAAATATCACATTTAAATGCATGTTGCTGAGGGCACAGTCACTCACAGAGGCACAGAGGATGGCATACAGCGTTGGCGTGATACCCCCTGGGTGTAAGCACACACACACGCACACAATTTGTAAGATTGCAGTCACTAGCACACAAAGACCTCATCAGAGACCTCATAATAGAAGACACAAGTATGGGTGCGTACACACATTCAACACAGAGTGGAAAGATGTATTAGACACACACACGCGCACACACTCACAAGCTGCATTACTAACTGGGAAGTACAATACACACACGTACTACACATAAACATGAAATCCCCACAAAGTAAACACAGCACATTTGAAACATTCTTACAAATGCATGCATTCACTGACAGCAGTCATTTCCATATTGGTGTTGAAAAATCTGTTTTCTATCAATTAAAGTCTGACACGCTGAGTTGTGATTTGAATATTTATGAGTTGGTTCCAGGGCAATGTTGCGTAACTCTGAAGCTGTTTATTTTGGTCTCTGTTGGCCCCACATTCAGTGTCATGCTCGAATTATAAAATGGATGCACATTCTGTCGTGTGAAGGATAATTAGTATAAAACGTCTGTCTCTTTCCTGTTTGTCTTGCACATTCATTTCTCCATCTCATCGGCTTTGCATCACAGTCTCCGTTCTTTATCTCACGGCTTTCTTTCATGTTCTATCTCCTTGGTATTCTTCTACGTATCTTTTACACATTGCTTCATTAGTGCATGCTGGGAACCTGAGCAGGTTGAGCAGTATAATGGATGGCTGAGACATGCTGATCGTACGTAGTCTTTTCCACCTCTTATCCTCCTGTAGGCCATTCTTTGTCCCACATAATCCTCACTCCTCTATACATTGCGGATGCACAGCCAAGTGGCTTGTTTCAGAGGTACAGTGAGGCTGTTTTTCCTCACCTGGATCTGTTTGGTACTTTGGTGACTTACCATGCACCTTTGTTGGAAGAATGGATGTAGGTTTGTTTTTACTGTTTGCCTGCTTGGAGTAGATCCACATTGCATTGTGTATTGTGCAACCATGTTCAGAGTTACAAACTCCCCATATACACATATTTTGCTTGTCTATTTTACTTTGATAATACATTTCTCAGCTAGTATCAAATTGTTCGACATGTTTTACTCCAATTATGGTAGTGTTACCAGAAAGACAGTACTGATTGTTAGTATCATCTGTTATCCACAAGAGCTTTCATGCATGAAGGCCTTTACTTTCAGTTGATAAACTCCCTTTACAGCCATGTGAATGGGCAGTACATTAACTCATGTCCTCTATGTCTCTGAGGTTGTACCATATAGTCTTATCAACTAGGTCTACAATAACGACATCTGCTCCTAATGTAGGCTGACTCATACCTCACTCTTCTTCTCCCTCCTACCTTTTTTTTTTTATCAGTAGTCATTCTAGTCACATACTGTGTATGGATGTGAAATGTAAAGATATATAAATCCTGACTTTTAGTTGTCGCTGTACTGGAAAAAGCAAGCGGTTTGCATATTGCACAATTGATAATATTTTAAATGAATTGTTTTTTTTTTTACATACACCAGCATCGTTTAAATGCAATAGGTAGTTATTACTTCTGTCTACATGCTAGTCCAGAAAACATTAACCACATATTAAAAGAAATAAGCACCTACAAAGCCATATATTTATTATTTGTCAAATTGGATTATATTGTCTTCTTAGTCCTAACAACTCCTACCTGCTGTTCTCTTGGAAGAGGTCCACATACTCAGGCATCTCAAAGGCACTGGCATCTATACACACACATTGTCAGTATTGTTTTGTGATTCTCAGAGATGTTGAGATGTGCAGCTCTGTGGAGGGTTGCAGCTGAGTCCACACAGATCACAGCAGGTTGTCAGTTCCTCCCACATTTCCTGCGTTTATCACATGGAAGTTCATTAATAAACAGACTCACATCTTTGCTATGACACAGTTATTTAAAAAAATATTCGGCGGTAACAGTTTTAACACTTAAGGCGAACGGTGGCACGGACTCACATCGATTTATTGATCCTTGATATTTCACAGTAGAAGTCATTTTGGAACTGACAACTTTGGCAATCCAACAGGGTTGATGAAAACATTAGGGACTGACTCAAGTGTCAAGGGAAATTAATCTTCTGTTTGTGTCCCCTTATTTGTAGTTCCTTTCTACCCTATTCTGTTCCCATCGTGCTGATGTTTGGTAATTAAGTACGTTGCCTAGTGCAAGACATCAAATAGGGCAACGCACAAAGGAGCAAAAATATTCACGTTGATTTAAAATGTATTTAAAGCTTAAACAAAGCTCCAATTTCCACAGTTTACTGCCAAGACCAAAATTAAAATTTCAAATGTAAAACAGCTTCTCTTTTGATCAAATATAATCCATGTTTAAATTCATCCTTCCTCCTACACTGCACCCGTCTCCTGAATATGATGTGATAATACAAAGGGTAAGACCTATACATAAAATGATGATTCAAAACATTTGTCATCTAATGGCTGTGTCCTCATATAACAGACATCTAGTGATGTATGCCAGAAAGCTGCCCTACAGATGCCACTCATCAACCTCGAGCACAGCTAACACTGTTTTATTTGGCTGTATTTGTATAAGAGCCAAGCGAGATTCAAAGACGACTTAAAACATTTTCTTCACTAACAGCAGAGGAACAGTTCAGTGTCATTGTCCTCCTGTCACCTTAGCTTCAGCAGTATCCCGCTGTGTTTGTTTTTCATTACTGACCCACATCCTCATGGGGTAGAGTTGTGTCAACACCTTAGGGCTTGTACCACCACGTGAAACCAAAGATGATGTTTCTCTTTCTGGCACTGCCGGCCTCCTCATTGTGTTGCTCTACACCTGTCCTATTTCCTGGAGCTCATGTAACTGCAGAGTAGTGGGGTGGGGGGTTGGTTTCCCTTTAGAGACTGATGGTTTTGTCTTTCCCATAATGATCTGAATTAGAGGTGCGTGAGTTTTGGTCTGGTTTCCTGCAGCTGTTTATTGCAGAGGCTTCTAAACCTGCTCTTTTGGTGGCCACCTCTACTAACATCTTCATATCTTCATCTTCATATTCGTAATAGATAAAACCTTATAGACTTTCAGGGGATGAATGGGCAGAGGTGCTATTTCACACAGTAAAACATATAACGTTTGCTTGTTTTCATCTCTAACTCTAATCTGTTTCCCACACAGTCATTGTTAAGCTTTAATTCAATTCCAGAAGAAACCCCTCTGCACACCTTTCTTCCCCAAATGTTTCTGATGTTTTGTGACCAAACACGGAATAAAGAATATAAAAAGACTTACCTCCTGCTCTTTTCCTGTCTCCTACAGGGAGGAGGAGGAGAGCCTGCGGGACAAGATTCGGGCAGACCATGAGAGAGCACTGCAGGAGGCAAAGGAGAAGCTGAGGAAGTCACGTGAGGAGCTTCAGGCTGAGATTCAGACAGAGAAAAACAAAGTAATGGAGGACCTGAAGAAGAAGGATCCAGGGCCTAAACCCTTGCCACCTGTCCCCATGCCCAAAGTGGTGGGTGTCAGTGATGGCGAGCCACCAGAGCCTGACGTCAAAGAGAAACGCGACAAGATCAGAGAGGTAAGATGATCTTTGACCAGTTATAGTTTTTTAAATATCCAGCTGATACGCAGTCAATTTTTACTGGGATTTATTTCTGTGCTGTAATTTTGGAGCATCACACTGTTCTAAAACAGCACTTGTACAAATTGTAGCAAAAGCTGTGGCTAGTTCTTAATACCAGTAGATTGTATTATTGACAACAAACCTCTGTGTTGAGTCCCTCATTTTGCAATATAACAATATAATAAGGACCTAGTCCTCCTTTGGTCTACTACTCATCTGAACTCTAGACCCTTTAAATTAGGACTGTCCAAAGTGGAGCCGCCATAAGGTTTGCCCACCAGTTATATCTAGTGGAAAAATTAACAAAGTAAAATTAATTGAAAAGATAATAATATAAATTGTTGTTTTTTTCTTTTGTGAGGTAAGAGGGCTTTTTATTGTGTAGGATCCTTAATTCTTCATTATTTCTTATGACCTCAGCACTGCAGGCAGAGTGACACAGTTAAGGGATCCTACATTGTGCATATTAACAATACAACAAAATATGTGTTTGCCCACCATTAAGTTTCAGATTTGGCCCTCCAAGGGAAAAAGTTTGGACACCCCCTGCTTTAATTTTCCTCTCTTAGCTAATTTTGTGTCCTTATCTTAGGGCTGGGCGATATGGACCAAAAATATCCCGATATATTTAGGCGAATATCGAATATACGATAATCCGATATGTTTTCCCAAAAGTGAGAGCAAATGTTTCAGTCCTCTCTCTCTCTCTTCTCTTACACACACACACATCACCTACACACACGACGTTGTGACCAGAAGTTAGGCTGCATTATAACTTTTAAAATTAATATTTTCAGAAGCAAGTAAGGCTGTTACCACTCACCAAAAAAACTGCTCCCGTTATTACACAAGCAAGTACAATTAAACCGTTAAAAAAAGTAACGTAAGTTAACTTTATTACTGAAGCTGAGTTAGGTTGGCCTTCAGCAACAGTGCCTGTAAAACATTAATGGTATGATAAAGATTTCTGCCTGTAAACAGAACAAGCAACCCTCCCCGACTTGCTTGGAGCAAGGATCACAGCGCAAATTTGAACTATTCGATATAATGCGATATGGTCTAATTCCATATCACGTTTAAAAATATATCGATATATCGCTCAGCCCTACCTTATCTACATATCTACGTGTTGACTAAAAGATCTAATGTGGGGAACTGATGAAAATGAATGGCTTTTATTAAAGAGAACGTTCCACTAAGACTTCATTTCATAAATTTCATGAAAAAAAGCAAGTGCTATTGCTATGTTGTACATTCAGTGGCTGTATTCCAGTGTGGGACATGAGGGGCACACATGATGTGCTGGTATTAGTTTGGCAAACATCCCTAAATTCAAGCCATCAGCTCCTCATTCACATTGAATCCTGTGAAGATCATCTTGCAATAGACTGGGGTGAAAACTTGTAGCCACGAGATTGGTGTCTGGTGAAATTTAAATCCCTGTGTGTGTGTGTGTGTGTTTGTGTGTGTGTGTGTGTGAGGGCCAGTTTGTGCTTGACTATACTGTACGTTTCTGTTGCCTAATGTCTGTCTTGGCGCCAGCTTTTATTGAAGGCAACAGCGAGCCAGACGGACAGTGTCTGTGCAGAATGCAGATGGTGCTATCTGGTCCTGCTCTCTATAGAGACTAAGCCAACCCCAGCCTATCTCCCTCTCTCTGCTCCTCTCCTTCCTTTCTCCCCCCTGCAAGTTCTCCTGCATAATTACCTCATATCGTCTCTCTTGAAACAGCACTTGGAGTCAGAACACTCATTGCGCATGGGAGCTGGCCCATTCACTCCAAACCCGCCTTTGTCTCTAAATGCCCCTTTTGTTCCCTTCATAATTACCATTCAGAGAGAATGCCATACACTCCCAAATGAGCAGGAAAGTAGCAGCTGTATGGGCTACAGCACAGCACAGCACAGCACAGCACACTCCCCTTTTTCCTGATTGCCTTGTGATTCCAAGGAGAAATCGTAATTGCACACTGGCATACAATTGTGACTAAAAGACTGGAGCTTATTCCCCTTTTTAAAAAAATCCTGGCTACAGGAAGCCATTTGGCCTGTGTTTTGATGTTGTAAAGTCCAGGGAGGAGTATCAGCATCCATCTTATTGTCATCGTTTATGTTTCATGCAGACAGTAGTGATTGTTGAGCCAGTTTGTTACCATGTTACTTTCCATTTGTATAAACAGACCATCTGTCTGACTTGAAGTCTTTTCGCTGTCTTTCCTGCATTATTTTGTAGGCTTCTTTTGGCTTGCTTCCACATGTGGTCTTGTGCACAGTTCATGGTGGTGAAGGATCAATGATTGCAACTTTTTACTTCTGGTTATAATGATTGGAGCAGAGTTAAATGATCAATTTTAGTCAGTTTTGTGGCTGGGTGGTGCTGCCATTTGAATAACTCCAACAAAAACACTAGCAACGCCTTTTGACAAACAGCAACAACATTTTTAAAATCAAATTTTGTGAAACAAAAAATCTGCCAACTCAAAATAAGCCTTTCACATAAGCTATTAACTCTTTTTCGACTGTGCAGAGCTGCCACATTTGTTTTTCTCTGTTTTAATTAGAAGACCCATATTGGGCCCACACATAATTCTGAAGCAGTTGTTGTGTTGGCAGAAAACTTTCAGTTGGTTGAAAACATTGAGTGGTTAGACAGAGACATACTTACATTAAGGGAAACAGACCAGGGGTAAATGTCATTTGCTAATAAAATACAGAAAGCTATCAGATTAATTACATTGGATTTGTCTTGCAGTTTTCTTAGGTTTGGCCAATATTTGATTCTCAGAAATTGTTGTGAAGCAGCTGTTTCTGTTTACCTGGTTCCTCAGTTTGCGTTGGCAAATCACCACGTCCCAAACAATTACTGATAAATTAATAAATAAAAAATAAAAAAATAATAATTTATAATTATTTAGCTTGATCTTGTGATGATGATGATAAGTGACAGTAGTTATGAGTCTTGATAACTAATAATATTATGTCAGTACACCTTTGTGCCTCTATTGTCTTCGTGTGCACTGGGATTTGTAAGTGAAAAAACTGCTGGTTGCTGGTTAACTGTGGAAACCTTTTACGGTCTAGCTGTGGATGTGAAAATCAGGGAAATTGGTCAGATCCAGCAGGATACTTTTGCTGCTCTGTGGTTCAGTCATGCCACTCAGGCCCCTTTTCTCCCGAAATAGAAATGAACCTTGTTTTTATGCCTTCCAAATAGATATTTCATGGACTGTACAGAACACAAAACCCCTCCTTTTCCACCACTTCCATTAGCTCAGAGCTCTGTGCTCTTTGGCTGTTCTGATAATTATGCAACCCGGACATTAGTGGCCATTAAACCTTTGTCTGGAGATGGAGAGAGCTTTACGGGCAATAAAAGAAAAGGATTGCAATGAATGACTATTAACTGTTCCAGTACTATTCACCTGTCACATCATGAGGTATTGTTGGCCCAGAGCTGTTGAAATAAGCTGGCTGTTGCAGTTAATGGGCCGTGGTACAAGGCACAGTTCACTTTCAATCAGGTTGGTTCATCAATAATGTTGGAAAAACACTAGTTAGTCTAGAGAATCCAGAGCCCAAAATGCAGACATCAAAAGAATGTTTAATCTACGAATAAGAAGTAATGTTTCCCTAGAGGTTTGCATTGCTTTTCAATAAAGAATTCTTAATATCACTTAATTATTCATGTTCAGTCCTCTCTAAAGGTTTGGAATATAGTAAACGCTGCTTTAGGATAAAGGCATAACTTGTTGAAATTAGATGTTGGATTGCTCACTGGTTCTTCAGTGTCTTCTTGTATTTTGAAGAAGCGATTTAGAAAAGTTGATAGGATATCAGTTCCTTGTCAGTCACCGTTAAAAGGTCGTACTAACATTATAGGCTACATTTTGTTAGTTATGTGCTCTTGGACAGTAGTTGAAAAACAGCTTTGTAACAAAGAAGATAATCTCTACGAAACAGTAGAGAGATATGCTTTCTGAGCAGATCCAGATAAAATATAAATAGAATGTGAATTCAAAATGATGGACCTACAGTAATATAATGGCTGATAATGGCTAATATGACTAGCCATGTATGTTATTTGCTGTGTATCGTGATCACAGCCAAAGTGAAATTGAAGCCAACAGTTTAAGATACAGTTTAAGGTTGTCTATGCATTTTTAATATGTTTTGGTACAGCAGTTGATGTAATGCATTAGTATTGCGTAGTAAGCATGAGCCATTTCAAATGTCCTCTGACCCAATGTTAGCAACAGCCAGGTAAGAGCCAGTGGGCTAGGACCATTATTCCATTAAAACAGTTTCAACAACGTGTACCACAT